TACACATTCAGATATACCTGATAACAGCCAGTAGAAGACTACACCAACATATATTTTTGACTTATTGCACGCTAATTTGATCAAAATAATTTCAGTTTTTTTTCTTCATATGCTGTTGAGGGGCCAAAGAAAGACTTCAGACTAAAGAAATCCAATAATCTTCCTATTATTTTATAGTCATTTACTATAGTCATTTTAACTTAAACTCACCTAATGAGATGAATGTGCAATATTCTTGGAGTTTACTGTTTAAAAGTAAGTAGTTAAAATGGTTTTAGACATTTTCAACCAATCATGTTCTTACTGTGTAATTAAAATGTAGTAAATAAGTCATTTGGACCCTCAGAACCAAATTGCAAAAGCATGTAATTAAATATATAAACAAACATTTAAAATCTAATGATAAACCCACTGAGCCTATATGAAGAAAAACTACCTGTACCATGACAGAGTCTAGTTATTAAACTTATTAGCTCCAACCTATCCCAGATATCTGGAAAAAAAAGCAAAAAATGAAAAACAAATAAAAGCTGGGCTCTCAGGAGGTTCAAAGCCTTTAGAAAATCCAGCGGCTCTTTATGGAAAGACGGAAGGGTTTTGTGATCATAGAATATTTTTTCATAGGTATATTGTGTAATAATTCAGAGGGATTTTTAATGGAGAAGGTCTAAATCCAGGATTGCGGGCTGTGGGGTGACACACAGACAACCAAGCGACACATAGAGGTTGGTAGCAGAGATCCACACTGGAGGTTTGCTGGGAAAGCGAGGGGTCCAGTTACAAAAAAAAGACGTCAGGGAGGGAAACTGGAGATACAGGAAACGTCAGCTCAGGATCAGCCTGGGTTACCACTCCCATTGGTTCCTGGCCAAACCCGGAGCTCCATCAGGTCCTCAAGAACCAGCCAGTGGTCATGGCCAATGGTCAATGGTCATGGCTGGAATGGCCGGCTTGCAGTCTTGATTTTAACCCCAAATAACCCCTTAAAAGCTCATTTTAGATGGTTGCTTATACCAACACAGCCCCATTGACTAACTCGGGACTAATTCTGGTTGAAGGATGGGATACCTGTGCACGTTTTGGCCGTACATGGTTATTCCACCTGCTTGTTAACGTCAAGTGAAGTTTAGAAGTTCATATAATGTATGTTTGAGTTCATTTACTAAAGCATTTACAATGTTATAAGTTGCATTATTTAACTATTTACATAATTACGTTGGACATTTATAATTTCATATTTACATGCTTCAGTATTTACTGCTGCATCTTTAAACAGTTAGAAATAATCAGTTGAATCTGTTTTTCCGGATTCCCACTGTTCGTCTCAGTCCAGATTCTGGCATCTCATTGGTTTGTTCAGTCATGTGATTAAAAAAAAAGAAGTAAGGGATGACGTTCTGAAGTTGTAAAACAGGGTAAAGTAGTAATGAGATTTCACCTGTCTCCACCCTCCTGTTTCTCCAACCACCTCTGATAGAACCCTCACGTTCCATCATTATCGGGGTTTTTAAGACTTAAATCATCTCAGGAAACAAAACCAAACAGGTTTTTATAGCAGGATAAAAGAGTTTGGCTACAAAGCTTTTCTATGGCTGCAGCCCACAGGCTCAAGTCTACTGGTCAGCCCACTAAGACGTTATCTTGACCCCATGTGGGTCCATTTAAAAGGGAGGAGAATGTTGGGAGCATAGTTTCAACAATCTTTCCCTGTTTCTCCTCGAAGAGTTCCACAAGTTACTATGTTTGCTAAATATTTCCATTAATGGATGTAGTTAACATCCAGCACTTTCATTCTTTATTTTTACAGCTTATGGATACGTCTGTAGGTGGATACATTAAGATTCGTTTTAAAGATCCAGCTTTTAGACTTTAAACTTCATACTGAGCTCTATTTATCTCTTGGAATTGCTCTTTAAGGAAATTCTGATTTATAGCCAGATTCCACTAATGGGAATAAAAGTGCTTTGATCATTTCCTCTTTCCTTTAGTCTGTAATGCACCTTTGTGTATGCTGAAGATCAGCACTGTTAAAAAGATCCCCGGTCCTCAAAGAGTCACCAAAATGACCAGAATTGGATTCTAATTGGCTTGAATTAGAATGTTCTTCTTATATAGAAACGATCAGACATTACATTTGCTATGATTTGGTGCTATGCGCCTAAAACTGAACTGAAAACATCTTTGCAAAATGTGTCTATCAGGGCCTGTACACGTCTTTGCTTTCACATTCCTTTTGAATAATTTCCTCGTTAGAATAGTGGTCAGTATTCCTGCCTATCACGCGGGAAACCGGGGTTCAATTCCCTAATGGGGAGATAAATGCGTGTTTATTTCTACTTTTTAAGTCACTAAGGATGGAAGCATCTGCTAAAAGCATAAACATAAAAACTAAGCTAAACAGTTAAGTCCAATTTAATGAGATCCGAATAATAACAGAAATATTCTACTGCTAAGGTTTAAAAGACTTTTGGAGATATAAGTGTAATTGGTCATTTAAAACACCTCTGGCAAACCAAAAGCATCCAGAAAAAACGCCTTGCACTGAATAAACTGTCGCATTTATTATTAGAAAGTCGGAGGTCAGGCTGACAAAATGAAAAAGCTAAGAGAAAGAAAAACTAATTACGTGCTTCCTTTAGCCCTTGAATCTGCGGCTTCTCTGCTCTCTCCTGCTGAAACTCATTTATTCAAACACTGTCAATGAGTTCTCCAGGCTGAGGCCATTATGAAAGTCAACGTGAAGTTTTTATTTGGTTGAATCCATTTCGATGGTCGTGCCATAATGTCTTTTTTTTTTCAAAAACGTGAAAGGAGTAAAAAAAAAAAGTTCATGATGAGGACATTGAAATGTTTGAACAAAGTGGGATGAGCGGACATCTCTTTTTCTTTCTTTCGTCCTCCTCCCTCCTCTCCCCGTCTTTGTCCTCAGCTGAATGGCGAACAATCCGCGCCGGCCTTGAAGGCAACACGTTTCTGCCAAACTGTCTGCGGTTAGAAACCGCTCGGTGCAATATTCTGTCACTTAGACACGAACACACACATTCGAATCCTTTCTTCATCCCCAAAAGCATTGAAAACCTCTCTAAGATTTTCCATTTGCACTCAGTTAGCCTCCGTATTTCATCTGGCTTTTGCTTTTCATCTTTGTTTTATTAAAGTCCGACGTTGGTGCAGGTTTGTGCGATATTTTGTGCGTTTCCTGGACAAGTTGTGTTGTTGGAGCAGAAGAGTGTGTTCCATCTGAGTTCTGATGTGTTTTCTCAAACATAATTTAAAGTTTTTTAGGTTTTTAGGTTAGATTGACAATAGCAAGAGCACAAAAAAAAGGTTGTGAACGCTTAAAAAGGGAATGATTATTTTATTTATAATGTAAATGATACAAAAGAAGATCTAAAAGAAGTGACAAAAATAAAGTAGAAGCATAAGTTCAACTTGACATTTCTGAGTTAAGCATTTTTGAAGATTGCATTATAATTATATTCTGAAAATATACCTGTTTGCGTGGAGGTTAATGACAGATTTAATGAACACAAATCTCATCGAGCTTATTCGCAGGTAAGATGCTGGAAAAGAAACCTGTTGTCATGACAGCAAAATCTTATCAGCCAGCTTTGAAAACATCTCAGAAAGTTTTCAAGTTCCTAAAGTTCTCTTTTCTCTGTTTAAGTAGAAAAATTCTGAGAGCCAGTTGCCTCCGAATGTATTTTGCTCTTTTAAAATTTTTCTTATTTTGATGACTTAACCCCACAAGAGCCCAGAGTTACACAGGTGCAATAATCTGATTAAACTAAAATACATTTAGTAAAAATCTGAAAATCACAGATTTGACATTTTTTATTTATATTTGACATTTTGTCTTGGTACTTGAACATTTTTTGCTTTTAAATGTGATAAATGAGTTTCATTTAGTCAGGTTTCTATTCTCTTGAATTTCTCAAATGGGTTGGGCTCTTATGGGTTAAAATAAAGATTCCATATAATGCCTTTGCATAAATGGGTGTAAACTCGTACAGCTAAATTCAAACAGACGATTTGATTATCAATCATTGTTAAGGAAATTTAACTGAAAAGTAGTCGGAGCAAATGATTGAATTTGTCATTTTGGGCATAAGACATTGTTTAATAAACTCCATCCTGAGCTTGTTGAAAAAAAAAACACTGAGATGTAAAAGCCATTTCTGTAGAATCTCAAAGCTTTCCAGTGTCTCGGGCATGATGAACTGTACGGGTGCAGCTCTTTTCCAGAGTGGGAACGTCGGTTTTCCCCTTTTTTCCCCATCGTGAGGTTGAGTGCATCCAAGCTAATGCTAAAAACTGTTTTTTTTTTCCTGCTTAGTCCCCACAGTACAGCTCAAGTGGCAGCTATGAGAGCGTGAAGATGGACTTGGGCGCGGAGGACCTGACGCTGGGGCGCCACGGCAGCCAGGTCGCCCCCGACGACGACGACGATGACCACGACGACCACGACGACAACGACAAGATCAACGATGCCGAGGGCGTCGACCCCGAGAGATTAAAGGCCTTCAACGTAAGTCCGGAGCTCACGGAATCAGTCCTGATCTCTCTGGGAAACAATAGATACGTTTCTTCATGTCTATGAAGAACACTGAGCAGGTGGTCGGCCATTTTGGCTCTAAAACCCTTCAAGATCAATGGTCACCCCCATACAGACTCCTCGTCATTAAGCGGTTAAAACTAAATTCGAGGAAATAAACCAATCATGACATCCATTAAACACCATCTACAAGTTTGTTCTGTACTTATGAAGTAACTCATATTCTCTATGGTGATCACTTCTATTGTTCTAATATAGCTGGATCCTCTAAAGCAGTCCACAATTTTAACCCTATAATGCCAAATGTATCATATTTGATACATACGGTTTCTGAAATGTTTTGCTTCTGACACCTTTTGCATCATTTAATGGTAAAAACTTTGCTCAAATTCCTATTGTACACAATCAGATACACCTGATAACAGGGGGCAGAAGACTACACAAAAAATAATCTGGACTTATCGAATAGTAATAAATTATTAATATTGAAAATGTATTTCTGTTTTTTCTTTTTACATATTTTTTTAAAAGGCCAAATAAGGAATTCAAACCAAAAAAAAGTAAATTTCCGTTTTGTTTTATTAAACAATAGCTCCGAACCAAAAAATGATTTATTCTTTCAGAGGAACAGAAGGATTTTATTTATTTATTTTAACCTTTATTTAACCAGGAAGTCCCATTGAGATTCAGAATCTCTTCTTCAAGAGAGACCTGGCCAAGGTAGCAGCCAAACCACAGGAAGTTCATACATATTTACAACATATTACATTTTTCATAATAAAATCAGAGCAGTATGTTAAAACACATTGAGCTTTTCAAGAAAAACAAGCCCATTATGGAACGGATTATGGAACCAGTGGTCCTGGTCTGGAGCTCCAGCCTTGGTGATGGTGTTAGAATCCTTGGGGGGGTAGTTGGTGGTGGAGCTTCTGGATGGTTCCAATGGACATAGACTGGTAGGCCGGTGGAGCCAGAGGCAGGAAGGGTGGAAGGAATCAAAGGTTCTGGACTTAAACAAGGAGCACGGATTTATTTGTTTCGTTAAGTCCAGAACCTTGTCCAGAACCTTGAACTTTTTAAACTTTAATGAAAACAAAACAGAGGTGGTGGTGTTTGGACCTAGTGGCTCTTGTGTGTCCTCCTCTGTTGACCTGGGACCTTTGGAGGAATATTTTAAACCTGTTATTACAGATCTTGGTTTTAAGGTGGATAGTGATTTTAAAATGGACAGCCAAATTAGAGCCGTGGTTAAGTCCAGCTTTTATCATTTAAGACGATTGGCGTCAGTGAAATCTTTTCTTTCCAGGCAGCATTTTGAAACAGTGATCTATGCTTTTATTTCAACTCGTTTGGACTACTGTAACGCACTTTATCTGGGAGTCAGTCAGGCGCTGCTCTCACGTCTGCAGCTAGTACAAAATGCTGCTGCACGTTTGTTGACAGGTACTCGAAAAAGGGACCATGTGACCCCTGTCCTGGCTTCACTTCACTGGCTGCCTGTATATTTTAGGATTCACTTTAAAATTCTTATGTTTGTTTATAAATCATTGCATAATCTCGCCCCGGCTTACCTCACTGAGCTTCTTCATCCCCACATACCCCATCGGTCTCTCAGGTCAGCGAATCAACTGCTCTTGGAGGTACCGAGAACAAAAAGGAAGCTCAGAGGGGACAGGGCTTTCTCTGTTATGGGCCCCAAATTATGGAATGACTTACCCTTGCAGGTCAGAGAGGCCCCTTCTCTGTCCACTTTTAAAGCTCGTCTTAAAACTCATCTATTTTACTTGGCTTTCAACACCAGCGAGATCTAGTTTAAAGTGAGATTTAGTTTAAAGTGTATGTCTTTGTTTTTGAACTACTTTTAATTTAAAATTATTTTTATTTTGTTGTGTTTTTTGGATTGTACAGCACTTTGTATCAACTGTGGTTGTTTTAAAGTGCTTTATAAATAAAGCTGGTATGGTATGGTATGGTTATCCACAAGAAACGTAAGAAAACTATGATATTGGCCTGAACCACACTGAGAGAGGAAAATCATCTAGCAACTGCCACATGGAACTGATTATTTTTACGGCTGCTCCTGATGAGGGTAATTGGCACCATCTGGATCCACTTCTGATCTCACCACCTGGAGGAGATTAGGGGAAAAAAACGGAATACCACAACTCTCCAGACCTAACGATATGATATAAAAAAAAAAGAAAGCTCCTTTTATTATTACCTGCTCAGAACCAGAATCCAGGCAGAACATATACCACAGAAAAAGGGATGGATGGGGCGTGGTTCATGGTCAAAGATGGTCAAACTCTGCTTTTTCAGCTGTTGTGTCTCCATTTCAGTCTATTTTGAAGCGTAATAGCCAGATATCTGCACTAATTCTACTGTAAAATTAGCACTGTGTACCCTGTACAACACTTTGATTCATATTGAATGTGATATGGGTTAATATTACCCGTAATGATGTTATACATCATATCTATTGACACAATAGATATTATTCTGTAGAATATTCTGGGGGTGTGGTGGTTAGAACCATCGCCTCACAGTAAGAGGGTTCTGGATTCAAGTCCCTGGGGGAACCAGGACCTTTCATTTTGGAGTTTGCATGTTCTCCCCGTGTCTACGTGGGTTCTGTCTGGGTTCTTCTCCCAAACCTGCATGATTGGACATTCCAAATTGCCCTTAAGTGTGAGTGTGTGTGGTTGTTCGTCTTTGGGTGTACCCCGCCTCTTGCCCACCGACTACTGGGATAGGCTCCAGTCCCCCTGCGACCCCATTTTGGGAATAACAAGTTCAGAAAATGCATGGATGGATAGATAATATTCTCTATCATTATACCATATATGCTATACCATTATTATTACCATGTACTGGTAACAATAACATAACCATCATTACCTCACCCTGCCTAATTTCAATTTGATCCACAGCAGTGATGGTTACACAAAAAAAAAAAACTTAGAAACTTGTTAGAAACATTGTTAGAACTTGTTAGAAACATTGTTCTCTTCATTGTTCTCTTCTCTGTAAATGAACGCTAAACGGTAATGTCTATGAAATGGTTACTTTTACGAGGGTGAAAAAGCGGTGTCTGTCTTGTTTTCTGCAGATGTTTGTGCGATTGTTTGTGGATGAGAACCTGGACCGGATGGTGCCTATTTCCAAGCAGCCAAAGGAGAAGATCCAGGCCATCATCGAGTCCTGCAGCAGGCAGTTCCCCGAGTTCCAGGAGCGCGCCCGCAAGCGCATCCGCACCTACCTCAAATCCTGCCGCCGCATGAAGAAGAACGGCATGGAGGTAACACAACCGTTTCTCAGCGTTAGAGTTCTTTTATTGTTCAAATATTTTTCTATTGGGTTTTGAATGGTGCAAAAATGGAACAAGTCTCCAAACAGCAACCCCAACATAACCAGTAATAAAGTGACGATAACACAGAAAATGAATGAAATATAAATATAAATAAAATGAAAAAAGAATGTAATAAATAAATAATATAGAAAAGATAAAAAATTAATAAAAACAAAAATACTAAAATAAATACAATAATTTCATTTTGTTTTTTAATGGAGGAAATAAAATGGAGGTAATAGAACTGTTTGTCAGCATTAGAGTTATTTTATTATTAGTATTTTATCATTTACAAACGCAGATGATAAAAGCTTGATTTGACTAAAGAGTTGAGTTAAACTTTTGGTCAAATGATACCCCCCAGGATTTCTAACTGTTGTATTTCACTTAAAAAGCAGAACACTTATGTCTTTGGTAGAAATATCACCAAATACAACACACTCTCAGTTTTTTGAAGGTTTAAAAACAACATTTTATGTTGTACAATCTTATTCTAATTAATTTATTAATTGATACTGGAAAAAAAACAAGTCCAGTTAAAGAGAGGATTAAACACATCCATTTGGTTATTATGCATTTTAAATGCGCCAGAAAAAGTACACACAAAACCCAAAACCACAAACTATTGGCCACTAGAGAATTGATATGAAACCACAAGAGCCCAGACCTATATTCACTAAATAAAATAGAGAAATAGAAAACTGACCAAATAAACCACATTTGGCATTAAGAAAAAGAAAGAAAAATCAGGTACCACCACAAAATGTCCGTAGGCCATTTTTAAATAAATGTGTTTTTGTTATAAATGGACCACTTTAACTGGTTGAAAAGGCTTCTGAGTTAGAAATGCAAAGTATATTATAGGAACATTGAGAAACAGTAGAGAATGTTGGTTTGAGCTGGTCTGTTTTTAACATTTACTAATCACAGGAACGTATCTGCTGCTCCCCAGTGGTAAAATGTGATGCTGTAATTCCTGGTGGAGCTGAGGGAATTTTAAAGTCATTCTTCTATATTACTTCCATTCAGATAAATGACTGACCTTTTGGCAAATCATATCTTATCTTAGAATTAAAAAAAATAAAGACTCAATCTCATTTATAAATAAAAAAATGACATTTTTGGTGTGATAAATTAAACTTTTACTCTTTAAATATCAGTTATAACAACTTACTTGAACAGCATCTTTACTTAATTTTTTTCTGTATAGCTGACAATCCACAATACAAATATCCTACATGTCCTGTTAATGATTAAAAAAAAGATTTTCTAAAATGTATTTAATCATAAAGTAAGGTCGATACATTAGCTGAACCTAGCATGCATTGGGGAAGAAAATGATCAGAGAATTTTAGTAATGTATTTACTTTTCTTTCTCATTGTTGCACAGTGTTGGATTGTTGGATGATTATATAACAAAGAACATTCCCAGATTTCTTTATTCATATACACATATGTGTATATGGAAACACACACATATATATATATATATATATATATACACATACATATAAATATGGATACACACACATATGTGTAAATGGATGCACAAATGTATTTTTATGGATTCACACGTGTCTTTCTCATGGAAAGGTTTAATAGATTGTATGCAATGGACAAATGATTCATTCTGTTGATACTCAGACCCGTCCTACTCCTCCTCACCTGACCTCGGCCATGGCTGAGAACATCCTGGCTGCAGCTTGTGAGAGCGAGTCGCGCAACGCTGCCAAGAGAATGCGCCTCGAAACGTACAATGTAAGTCCACGTTCTTTTACGTTTGTGCGATTTGTCTCAGCAAACCTTTGTCGCGATTCGTTCGTGGGGACCAAAATATCATGTACAACAAGGATCTGTTCACATTATTATCCTTTTTTTATCCTTTTTTTTTATTGTGTTTCCATTTTATGCATGACGGCCCCACTTGGAAATATTGTGAAATAATGGGTTTCAAAAGTAGAGACACTAAAATTAAATATTCTTACCAACTTTTTGGTCAGACACTGTTTTCTTGTTTTGTTTTTTTCAATCAAATCATTTGATTTGAAACCAATTAGTTATCTCCAAAGTTTCCATGTGGGTGGACTGCTATGTGAACTACTTGATCTTTGTACATAGCATGGACTCAAGACAGATATGTGTGTCCAAACAATGTGAGAGTTTAACCCTATAATGCCAAATGTATCATATTTGATCCAGTTTCTTTTGGATCTGAGACTTTCTGCATCATTCAGTGGTAAAAGCTTTGCTCAAACCCCTGTTGTACACATTCAGATATACCTGATTACATCCAGTAGAAGACTACACCAAAATATATTTTTGACTTATTGCACGCTAATTTGATCAAAATCATTTCTGTTTTTTTTTTCTTCATACGTTATTGAGGGGCCAAAGAAAGACTATATTCAATATCCAATATTCTTCCTATTTTTCTTGGATCGGGCTTTAAAGGGTTAAAGCTGTTTTGGGGGGCTTTTAAAGCTATTTCTTGGCCTTTAAAGCTGTTTTTTATGGCTTTTAAAGCTATTTTGGGGACTTTTAAAGCTGTTATTTGGGGGTTTTTAAAGCTATTTTTTGGCCTTTAAAGGTGTTTTTTAGGGCTTTTAAAGCCATTTTGGGGGCTTTTAAAACGTTTTTTTGTGCTTTTAAAGCTGTTTTGGGGGTCTTAACCCTATAATGCCAAATGTGTCATATCTGATCCGGTTTCTTTTGGATCTGAGACTTTCTGCATCATTCAGTGGTAAAAGCTTTGCTCAAACCCCTGTTGTACACATTCAGATATACCTGATAACATCCAGTAGCAGACTACACCAAAATATATTTTTGACTTATTGCACGCTAATTTGATCAAAATAATTTCTGGTTTTTTTTCTTCATATGTTGTTGAGAGGCCAAATAAAGACTTCAGACTAAAAAAATCCAATATTCTTCCTATTTTTCTTGGATCAGGCTTTAAAGGGTTAAAGCTGCTTTTTGTGCTTTTAACATTGTTTTTTGGGGGGCTTTTGAAGCTGTTTTTGTGCTTTTAAAGCTGTTTTTTGGGGGGTTTTTAAAGCTGTTTTGGGGGTCTTAACCCTTAACCCTTAACCCCTTCTTCATATGTTGTTGAGGGGCCAAATAAAGACTTTAGACTAAAAAAATCCAATATTCTTCCTATTTTTCTTGGATCGGGCTTTAAAGGGTTTACGGTCAGTTTTAAAGAGACAGAGAGAGCTGAAGGTCAGTTCTCTTTTCCTGCCCTATCCTTTGTCCAGGACGAGCCGGTGTCCGTGGATAAGGCCTGCGGTGGGGGGGGCGGCCTCAGGGAGCCGGGCTCCCTGGTCCACTCCGCCTACTCCCTGGCCCCGTCCGCCTTCCCCCCCCAGGACACCCAGCTCTACATCAACGGCGCGGGCCTCAGCTACGGTTACCGTGGATACCCGGGCCTGGGCGCTGCCATCCAGCATCCGGTTTCCTTGACAACCGGCGCTGCTGCTCAGAGCAACGGTGAGGACGGGGGGGAACTGTCTACTGCTAGCCCCCATAGCAGTAGACAGGTTTAATGGCCGAATCAGTGTTGGATGATTATATAGAAAAGAATATTCCCAGATTTATGTGTTTGTGTTTATGTTT